AATCTCTCCTTTGAAAACTGTTGGACTTGTTTTTAGATTTGCAGAAAAGTTGGAAAAATAATTATTTGTGGGTTCCTCATCCAGCCTCCCATAACTATCACTCAATGATTAAAGTAGAATTACTGTTGGTACATGGTTGTTATAACTTAAAATGAGAAATTCAGGTAGAATAAGGGGTTAACAGTGTAACTACAACCAAACGTGAAATAAAGTTACATTGTATAGAACAAGCTTTTAACCTGGACACAGTTACATTACCAACTGGAGCTACTGGAGGTACAACTAAAAACACAGTGAAATTAACATTATAACAGTACAAGACATTAACATTATCACAGTCCCTTTAGTAAGAAATCAAAGTATTCCTTCATCTTAGCTTCCTCTGTACACCATCTTATTGCTTAAGGGCCCTAGTATCCTTAGTTTGTACTTCTTAGTCTTCCACAGTCTGTAATGGTTTCTCATTCTGTCTTGTTATTTATGAACTTGATAAAATGGGGTGTTGTTGATAGTTATTTTGCTGAGTATCTGTCTGATTTCCTGGCTGTTGAGGCGGTACATACAGAAACAGTACCCCATAACTGTTCAGTATTGAGGAGTTCATGGTGTTGGTGTAACTTGCTGCTGGATGTGGGCCCCGTGAGATGGTTTTGTGCCTTGTGTCTCCACATGTGGATGTAGTTACCATGCCTTGGGAGATAAACCCTTGCATGTTTCTGCTCTCAATTTAGTGTCCCTCAGTGTGACTTACCAGCCACAATTAACTTCATGGAATTCCCTTAATGGTGATTGGCTGTTTCCTCCTTTGTGTTATTAACTGGACCTCTGCTGAGAGAGGCAATAGTCACTCCTACAAGTATATTTAGCTGGTTGTATTCATCACTGTGGACTTCTGTTTTGTTTGTTCTTATTATTCTGTGGGTCCTAACCTTGTATCATTACTGTTACTTTGCTGCCTAAATTGCAGCTGTGTCCTTCATCAGTCCACACTTGTGTTTCTTTTCTTGCTTTATGATCCTACAAGGCTCTCTCTCTCTCTCTCTCTCTCTCTCTCTCTCTCTCTCTCTGTGTGTGTGTGTGTGTGTGTGTGTGCATGTATACCACTGCTCACTGCTCATCTCTCAATATTCGAGACCCTTTCAGTGGACAGAGCTTCAGTGTGGCTGTGGGCATGAAAACTTCTAAGTCATATCAATACTCTGCTTTTTAGTTCAAAAACAGGGTTCATCTTAGTCTTCTCCCTTCTGTTGTGTGTATGTATGTGTCCCCCACCTCATGTGCATGTTTGTGTGTATAAAAGGAAAATTTCAGCCTGTGTGTGCCAGTCCACCCCCCCCCCTTATTTGGATTGCAAGCAAGCATTAACACACCCGAGATTTGGTTTACTTTCTCTTCTTCATTTTTAGTTTTTTGCTTGGTCAGTTATTTGATCATATTGCTAACCCACACATTGCTAATCCTGTAGATGGTCTTCTGAATGTTCTTAATATCCAAAATCCTACCCACTTTGAGTAGTTATGTAGTTCATGTGTCACGTTAGGCTTCCTTGTGAGTGTTTGTTTTTCTGTTTAGTTTCTTCCACATCTTGGCCTAAAGGTGCTTGTAGCTAAGCCTGTTGACTCAAGTTCAATCACTAGAACCCACTTAGTGGAAGAGAATTAACCTGAGTTGTTCTCTGACCTCCACATGCATGCACATGCCCTCTCCTACACTAAATAAATATATAGAAAATAAAATACTGGGGCTGGAGAGATGGCTCAGATGGCTCAGATGTTAAGAGCGCTGGCTGCTCTTCAAGAGATCCTGAGTTTAATTCCCCCGCAACCACGTGGTGGCTCACAACCATCTGTCTGTAATAGGATCTGATGCCTGCTTCTGGCACTCATACATAAAAATATAAATAAGTTAAATTTATAAAAGAAAGTAAAATACTAAGGAAAAAAATCAAGCTAGAGAGAAGGCTCAGGGGGTGAGGATGCTTACCACCAAGTGTGATGCTCAGAGTTCAACCCCTGGAACTCACATGGGAAGACTTCTACAAGTATGCTAAATATTAAAATTAGCTCCCCCTCCCAGTGCCTTGGGATGTTACTGTTTCCAGAAGCAATATCCCTATCTGAAATTCTTGGGCCAGAAGTGTTCTTGATGTCTGATTTTGAAATATTTGATTATGCATAGTTAGATACCTCAGGGATGGGACTTGACCCTAAATATGAACTTCTCTTCTGTTTTGTGTGCACCTTAAGGGGTGTGCATGGTGCCCTGGCCAGCATATACTGAAGGTAATCTAATACAGATTTTAAACAGTCCTAAGCCTGAAACAAAGCTTCATGGTATGGAGTTTTCCACTTGTGGCCCTATAGCTGAGCATCTACTTTAGTCAGTCTGTTCTGGATTTCCCCCTCCATTGCTCAGAGCCACAGTTTTAGTCAGAGAGGGCCTGTTGTATGGGTCAGGGTCTGAGGGATACCAACTTCACTTCTCAGTTTTTTTTTGTTTTTTTTCAGTAGCAAGATGACATCACTACAATTCAGTCAAATGCTTGTCATTTACACTCATCATTAAGTAACTTCTCAGTTTTTTGTTTGTTTGTTGTGTGTATATATGTGTTTGTAAGGGTATGCATGTGAATATTTTTTTTTTCTGGCAGTTCCTACATGAGGATTTTCAGTCTTTTAGTCAGGGCAGGTGGCTGTGGACTGGTTGTTAGCTTTGAGCAGAATGTCAGTGGTACAGGAATTGGTTGAAAGTTGTGGGCTCACACGAGCAGGTGGAATAGAAGTAGAAAGGTGGTCTCCCATCCTTATTTTAACTTACAATGTATGTCCTTTGTAAGAGAACACCTTGACATTAAAGATCTTCCTAAGGTTTTGCCCAGAAGGCACCAGAAAGAATGTCCACCCTGCCTGCCCTGCTGTGGTTCTGGAACAGATTCTGTGTCCAGGTGGAAGGGAGGCAGCCTGTGCTTCTAGGCTTCCCTGGGGTGCTCTGTTCTTCTGGCTTATCTCAGCATATAAGCACTCTGCTGATGGCACCTGCCTGGCACTGACCTCTGTGCCACAAGGTCAGCTCACAGTGCAGAGGCTTTAGCAGGTTCTTAGGTTCCTTAACCAGCTGCTTCCACCAAAGCCAGTTCCAGTCCCATGCTTGGCCAGTAGAGCCTGGAGATGGTGACTTCATCCCTCCAGCAATGTAGATTTTACCACCTTTCATGATGTTTAAGGAGTAAGGTAGATGCTGTTAGCACAGGGTGAGGTTCTAAATCCTAAATAAAAATGAGCTATGTAGTTTATACTTGATTTTGATCTCTGGGAATTCTTAAGAAATAGGCAGAGAGTTATGCCACTGCTGTTTTGCACTAGGCCTGCCGGAGCACCTCTGATCCCATTACATGACAGTTCTGTCTCCTGTCTGTTACCATATAGGACTAGCTCACTGCCCTAGAGTTCTGACTTACAGGACACACATAGGGCAGCAGATTCTTGCTAACCAGTCAGAACTTTAGACAGGAAAGGCTATTGGGGCAGGAAAAGTTAAAGAAAGTTTCAAACTAAGGGCATCTTGGTATGTAAGCTGGGACTTTCCAGAGAACTCATTTTAAGAGGACAGTCCTTGGCTTGCTTTTAAACTCCATATTTACTTTTATAAAATATCAATTTTACTGCCTTATAGTTACATTGATTTTGTATATATATGTATTTGTATACACACACACACACACACATACACACATGCCATTTGGAGATTTAAAAAACAAACAAAAAGAAAACAAAAACAAAAACAGGGTCTCATGTACCCCAGGCTGCCATCAAACTCATTATGTAGTCAAGAATGGCCTTGAACTTCAGCTTTGTCTGCCTCCACCTCTCTCGTGTAGGATTTCGGAGATGTAGCACCTTGCCAATACAATCTAAAGCTTCACATATGCTAGATAAGAACTCTGCCAGCCGAGCTATATCCTCAGCCCTCACTTGGAAATTATTAGCTTGCAAGACTCCTCCACCCCAGAAAAAGAGAGGGTTGGCTAAGTGGGTAGACCACTTGCCTCACAAGCATGAGGATCTGAGCTTGAATCCCCAGAAACCATGTAAAGGTCATGTGTGGCAGCATGTGTCTTTATAATCTTAGAGCTCGTACCGTGAGATAGGAGGCGGGAAGCTATCTGGAAGTTCATTGGCAGCTAGCCTGGTACGTCTTGGCCATCTCAAACAAGGATGAACAAAGGTGAGGCCTGACACACAAGATTTTCCTCCAACCTCTATGTTCGGATTGTGACAGGCTTGTGCATGCATTCACATACACGAACGTTTATATATACACATAATAAACATACACACCAAAAAAAGAAATAAAAACAACAAAAAAACCCAAGAGAGACACAGTGTTTGCTAGAGAATGCATGGAGCTCCAGTGGCTGGGGAGTCAGGCAGCTCTAGAAGCCTGTGAGGCAAAGACTGAGGACACAGCCACCAGACAGGCTCCTTTCCAGCCAGCAGTCTTCTGTGTCATTTCACATACCAGAGAGATACCAGGCCCGGGGTTTCTGCCCAGCAGTGGAAGAAGAGAAAGAGGTGGCAACTCAAGTAGCACTCCTCCTACAACCTCATATAGCAGGAGAGGTACTCCCTCCATCCAGAGAAGAACACTTGCTCAGTAAGGAGAAGACATAGCTGAGAGGGCAAGGTGCACCCACAGCCTGCCCTAAGGCTTCACTTCTCTGCCATCCTGAATCTTAGGGTTCAGTGTGATGCTCCATTGCTTTATCTCTGAGTCGGTTGCCCTCTCCATCCTTCCCTCCTCATGGGGTCCTGCTTGTCAAGTGCTGAGCAAGTCCAACATTTGGCTGGGTTTTCGGGGGTGTAAACCTACTGATATTTAACCACTGCTAGGATGTTCTGTTACAGTTTTTATTTTTAATTTTGTAGCAAGTTTGTATTTAAAAATAGACAAAACCCAGGCCATATTTATGCATTTCTCCTCACACAGCCTCTCTCTTCTAGGGCCCATTGCATCTCTCTTTCCAGCAGAACCCACAGGCCCAGTCCTTGCAGTTGACAGTTGGAGAAGTCTCCAGTGTGGTCAAGTCAACCCAGGAGAAGGTGAGCTGGGTGTGTGAACTGTGCTATCTTTCCCTGCGTGCTGAGTGAGTGCCAAGCTGGAGCTGAGCCAAGTCCTTTGCTTCAGAGTCACTGAAAATATAGAATCATTATTCTGGGGAGAACTGGTCAGCCTATCATTGCATAAATGGATTTTTTTTTAAAAAAAAGTCCACACATGAGATCATTCAGCGATGAAATAGACAGAAACACGGACATATGTGTGCATACCTTCAGTGAACCTGGAAAACATGTTACTGGGGGCTGGAGATGTAGCTCGGTAGGGAGCATGATTGCCTAGCATGCATGAAGCCCTGTTTTTGATCTCTAGCATATAAATTAGGTATGGTGGTGCATACCTGCAGTCCTAATACTCAGAAGTTAGGAACAGGAAGATCGGAAGTTCAGGGTCAGCCTCACCTATGTAGTAAGTTCCAAGCCAAACCAGGCTACACAAGACTTTGTCTCACAAAAACAACAAGCGTGCTATGTGCAGCCCAGTGTTGTGTGATTTCATTTATCTGAAATGCCCACAACAGGTAAACCAGCTAATAGGACCAAGCTAGAGATACCAGGACCTGGGTGGGGAAGGGCCTGGTGGGCAGTGGAGTGGTTCCCAAGAGGCAGAAGGTTTATTGGTGGTGATGTCTGCCAAATGTGTTGGAAGCATTTGAGTGCATAGTCTAAAAGGCCAGATTCTGTGGCCTCTCAGTAAAAGAGAGGTGTATGTATGTGAAGTCAGCCATGCGAGGCAGTTTCTGAGCCAGTGAGATGTGGTATATAATTAGTCCCATCGCTCAGAGTTTACAAGCCAGATGCACACATGAGACTGACCAGAAAGTCAAAGGAGACCTCAATACTGAGTCTAAGAACTATCAAAAATCAAAGATGAACTTTGACCTGTTATATTGGAATTACCATCTTGTATTTATTGCCTTATTATTAATGATTATTATTATTATTACTATGCATTTTATATCTTTGGGCCCTAAATGTGCCCCTGTATTAAAAATGGCTTATTTGCCTAATATTCAGCTTATCTTCCAAACTCAAAGACTCTCCCCACATGGGTAGTGGGACATCCCTGCTGCTTTGTTTCCCCTGACCATCAGATGAGAAAGTCTTGCTATAAGAGGAAAGGGACCCTGTCAGTGGCATTCATTACAACTCTTCAAAATGTACTTCAAAATACATAAAAAGAATACAGATTTGGGCTAGAGAGATGGCTCAGCAGTTGAGAGTGCTTGTTGCAGAGGACCACAGTTTGATTCCTAGCACCCACACTGAGCAACCACAACATCCTATAACTCTAGCGCCAGGGGATCTGACACTTCTTCTGACCTCCAAGGATATCTACACACACATAAATAAAACAAAGAAAATTTAAATAGGAATCTCCTCCTTGCCTGCTGCCTTGGTCCCCATTGTTTTCCTAAGTTTAGCTTTTTTTTTTTTTTTTTTTGAGACAGGATTTCTTTGGAAGCTGTCCTGGAACTAGCTCTTGTAGACCAGGCTGCTCTTGAACTCACAGAGATCCACCTGCCTGTGCCTCCCGAGTGCTAGGACTAAAGGCGTGTGCCACCACTACCCGGCTAGCTTGGGCTTGTATGTCACATTATACATATGCAAAGTCTAGGAGCCACAAATTAGAGAAACAGGCAATACTTGTTCTTTTGAGTCTGGCTTAATGAGATTCTCTACATTTGTATCCATTTCTCCCATAAATGATATGGCTTCATTCTTTTTAATGACTGAAAGGAATTCTGTGTGCATCTAATCTACATTTTCTTTATGAATTCCTATGTTGTTGGACATCTAAGTTGGTTTCATGACTTAGTTATAGTGGATACTGCTGTAGAAACATTGGTATGCAAGTGTCTCTGTGAAGAGAACATATTTTTTAGGCTGTGACATAGACAATAGTCCTGTCCTCTGTGCTTGCTTTCCACCCACAGTGGTGACCATCCTGAAGTTAGACTAGTTTCTTCCTTCCCAGCCTTCTGTGTATTCCTCGCCCCTGCATGTGAAAGACCAGCATTTGCAGATCTAACCCATTTTATTTTCAAGTTAAATGTACAGGGCATGTATAGCAGACAACTTGGAGGGGATTTCAGGTTGAGAGGAGAGTGCTACCATCCCTCATCCACACACACCCTTGTTACCTTCACAGTAAGGATTGTTTGTATTTATTAACTCCTATCAACTTACTATGCATAATTTAGTACCAAGATTTCTCTTCTTGGAACTTGAGATTCATCTGATTGATAACAGCTTTGTTTCTTTAGCTGTCACTAGTCAGGCTCTGAACAAGCCAGGCTTGTGGTATCCCTCTTTCTTGGGGTCATTAGGGTCGGGGGGGGTCTTGTAGAATCAGAGTTATTACTCTTCCTTGGCTAGATAAATAGCTTTCTTTCTTTCTCATAGGCACGAGTGACAGATGCTATAGGGGCCTGGTTACTCTTCCAGCTTCCCAGGTGCACACTCAGGTTGCCAGGTTGGAGTGGACTAGGTGGGTCCAAGATATTCTGTGTAAAATTGGCCAGATATTCCCACATTTATTACTATGGTTCTGTGCCATCAACCCACGGAAGTTCTCTTCCCAACAACCCTTTCTAGTACAGAAGTCACATGCCCATGCTACCCACTTGGTGAGTCCAACTCTCTGGAAGATAATACAATAGCAGAAGGAACTGAAGCCCATGGCAGGCATTGGAATATAGAAGCTGGCATAGTTCATGCAGTTAGTAAGGGCCAGAGGTAGATGAGCCTGTGGCCACTTTTACAGCGTAGAAACTGAGACATACAGAGCAGAGGGCCCAACCTTCCTGGCACCTCCTTGGGAAGTGCTGGCTCCAACAGCCAGCACTGTCTGTCTGTGACAGATAAAAAGTGTACTTCTGGGGAGGTGGGAAAGCTTATGTTTGTTATTTTCTGAAACTTCCAAGTCTGACGGGCAATGGAGTAGTATCAAGAGCTGACCTGGCAGCAGAGAAGGGATAGAAATGCAGACCTTACAGCAGTCTACCTTCTAAGGTCTTCATATTTCCAAAAGAAGCAGCTTCAGAAAGTGGGTAGGTGAAATGCATTCCTGTTAGTCCATCTATGGGGTGAATGTTCAACCAAAGCCTTTGGGTGAATAGAGTCTGTATATCTTGCTCAGAATCTTGTCATTCACCATAGACAAAAGGGAAAAGTGGTCCAAACTTCGTGGTGTCATAAATGAAGGAAATACTGACACACTGACACTGAAGACCCTTTGCTAAGTTGAGATATAAAAGAACAAACACTGTAAGAGGTATCAGGTGAGGTTTTGGATGTGGTCCCTACAGTCAAGAGCACAGGCAGAAAGTGAGATGGGAGTGGGAGGGGACAGGAGGGGCTGTGAATAGAGTTAGTGTTTTGTGGGACATAACTTATGAAGATATGGTTGACAGTGATGTCTCCAAATGCTGTTCTCTGAGGTCAAATGGGCTGGCCAGGCTGGTAGCCCTCTGCTCTTCACTCCCAGAGTGGTTGCCCTCCATTGGTTACTGGCTATGGGTGTAGGAAGGGTGGGACTTGGTCTTTAGAGCTCCTCGGTGACTCTTAGCTGCCCTTAACGTGTGCTCACCCATGGGAGTATGGTGTGTGTGTGTGTGTGTGTGTGTGTAGAGGGGGGAGTGTAGGGGGCTGTGAGGGTGTGTGTGTGTGTGTGTGTGTGTGTGCGTGTGTGTGTGTGGGTGTGTGGGGGGGTGTGGGGGGGTGGGGGTGTGTGTGTGTGTGTGTAGAGGGGGGAGTGTAGGGGGCTGTGAGGGTGTGTGTGTGTGTGTGTGTGTGTGTGTAGAGGGGGGAGTGTAGAGGACTGTGAGGGTGTGTGTGTGTGTGTGTGTGTGTGTGTGTGTGTGTGTGTGTGTATCTGAGCTTTGGGAGGATAAGACTCCTGGTTTCTGTATGTGGCCTTTTAATTTTGGACAGATGCCTTGGCCAGCTGCAACACACCCATTTTTAGAAAGTACTGGAGCCAGAAAATAAGCTTTTCTCATAGCATGTCTCAGTTGGGACATTACTTAACTCCCCCATTGGAAGAAGACCAGAGGCATGGAGATCTCTTTTTGATATTGTTCTGGGATTGAGTGTAACTTTGCTGTGTTGTGCTTGGCCATTCCCTGTAGGGTACAAATTTTCAGTGAAGTCTTTGTCAGTTTCCCCATGGTCTCACTGCCGTGCAGAGTTCTTGAGAACTTGAGGGCCCCAAATCCATGGCATAGAAAAATGAAAACTTGATTCCTGCCAGCTTCCTCCATGGCCTCAGGGGGTTTTATTGTTGTTTTGTTTTGTTTTGTTTTCATCTCTTTTCTCTTGGCCTTAGCCAAGGCTACATATCTTATGCTAAGAAAGGGGCAGGTCCTCCCAAGCCCAGCTTGTTACTTGACTTAATATCTTCTCCTAGATGAATAAGAGTAAGGAGTGGGTACTTGTGAACTTATACAAAGGGCCCTGAGCTTGAACTTTGTCCTTCAGCCTTTCAAGACACCTGTTTGTCACGGTTGTTGTCTTTGCAAACATGGGTTCAACAGCAACCCCTTTTCTGCAGCCCACAGTGAAATCTCTTAAGGATTGAAGAGAGAAAAGTACCAAGGATGGGGCAAGATTCAGACCCTGCCCACGCCACTGAGTCTGGAGCAGTCTGGTTCATGCAAAGCACTTTGGACACTGAACATGTACATTTATCTTAGTGTCACAAACTGGGTATCTCCCCATTCGATTCAATTCTGACCTTCACAGCGAGAAGTTATTGTAACTGGCTGGGTTGAAAGCTGAGGCTCACAAGCCTGGCCCTGGTTTACACCCCATTTCTGATTGGCAGCAGACAGATTGGGGTTTCCCAAGACCCCTTTAGTTCAACAGATAATTGGAATGGCACACAGAACCCAGGAACACAGTTTGTGCTTTTTCCAGTTTATGAAGCTACAGACAAGTGAAAAGTGTGCACATGATGTGGGTGGAGTATGCAAAGTACCCCA